GCCCGTCTCCGCGCCCCCGAGGGCGGCGGGCAGCGCGGGTAGAGGGGGCGGCGGCGGAGCTCATCGAGAGCTCCGGCGGAGCTCGTCGGCGCCGCTCAGAGCCGTGCTGTCCCCTCGCCGGCGGCGGGCATCAGGTGTCGGGGTTGCCTCAACATCTGGAGGGGCCGCAGTCAGTGAGCCGCCCACTCTGAGCAGCGGCCGGGGAGAGCCCAGCTCTCCCCCAAACTTGAAAAGCATCTGCTGGGGACTTAACCCCGTGGCCCCATGACTCTGATATGCAACTGAAACAATAAGATCCTGGGTGGGGAGGGGGGGGATATAAGCTGCATGATGACAAATGTTTCGTTCGCCCCAAGCACACTCTGGCTTATTTTAACCTCGGCTACACAGAAGGATGCCTGGGGGCGAAGTAAAAATAGATACTTAGCTAAAAGAAGAGAGGGCATGGGGCGTGGGGCAGCACGAGGCTGGGGTTCTGAGGCCACCCACAGCAGTGTTGGGGCATGGGGATCCACACCACACTGGGGATGGGAGCCTTTGGGTGAGCGCAGCACTGACACCGCACACTCTGTCAGGGCACAGCCTTCTGTCCTCCTAATTCCCGTGTCTCCTCTGTAGGTCTGCTGGAAATCTCCCCTGTGGAAAGAGGAGTGGTGAGCATATTTGGTGTTAGAAGCGGACTCTTCGTGGCCATGAATAGCAAAGGCAAACTCTATGGATCTGTAAGTAACCACCCATTATGTGCCCGGGGAGGGGACCATGGTCAGCTGGGGTGAGAGGTGTGCATGGTGCTAGGAGCTGCCCAAGCCCCATCCTTGCCCCTCCTGAGTCAGGCAATGCAGAGCAGCCCTTGCTGCCTTGCCAACAGAAGGTGTGCTGCCCACGTATGCTGCTTAATGAGCTTTTGAAATAAAACCCACTCTTTTGCATTACACTTCCTTGGTTCCCCCATAAAAACTATAGTCACCCAACCATGGCTACCCATCTTGCCTACCACACAGACCAACAGAGTAGTCATTTGTGTGGCAAGACCTCAAGCTAGCCTTAGTCCATATCCTTCTTGTATTTAAGTACAAACAGCCTTAAGCAGGTATGGCAATCTCTCACTCCATCTGTCAGAGTGCACTTGAACTTGTGATCAGCCAGGCCCCCACAAATAATCCTTTATGATGAGATGAATCAGTGCCTGTCACATAACCACAGATCAGTCTTTGTTAATGCTCTTGATCAGAGGGTCTGTTCCAATGACAGTTCAGCATCCTCAAGGTTTGGCCTTACATTTTTAAGGCAGCAGATCTATTAGGAGACAATACAGATCTTTCCTTTTTTTACATTGAATCTTTGGAAAAGAGGCATCTTATAAAATACACTTGGGGTGGACAATAAAAGTGCATATCTTCACCCATGTTGGGCTGTTCTGCTTTTGAGTTAATCTCTGTATAAGTTACTGTGATCAGCATGATTTCAAAACCATGTTCCTGGGTCTCCTTCCTTATCCATGGCTTCTCTATTTCATGTTTCTCAACTATGCTTTGAAGAAACTTGGGCTGGGGAAGAGCCAAACTACATCAAAGGCAAACAATGTCAAAATTAACCGGGGCACTTTCACATGAAGACACGAAGCATCCAGAATTGTTTTCTGGGGCATCAGTCCTGTTACAGAGGATTTTGACATAGAAAAGACAGGCAGAATCAGTCACCAAAGTGCGAGAGCTCCCTTTGCATCATTTCTTATGAAGACTGATGCTTTGTGTCCTGGATAAAGTAATTACCAGAGCAGTGTTCATCTTGGCAGGCTGAGACCTCTCTTACAAAACCCCAGGCTTTTGCCCAATACTAAGAGATGAATTCATTTGTTACTCTCCAGATAACAACCCACTTGTAACACCTGTCTCTCTTTGGACTTACTTGCAAACGAAACCTCTTCACTGGAAGTGTGCCTTTTGTCAGCTCTGTTTTCCTCAGCCATTAACATAAGTGAACCCAAACCCTTCCTTCGATTTTAAAACTAAAGAAGCAGAAAATGTTGTCCACACTGAGTGTCTTTAAAATGCCTCTTTCTCCTCAAGTGACATGAGAAAGTGCCAGCATTCAGATTTTTCTGAAGCCTCTCAGGCAATCTATTGCTGGTAGGACAACCCCTGAGCAATGAGCTGAGCAGGGCAGCAGAATTGGGCTGGGGCCTCACCCCACTGCAGCTCCGTTAAAATGTGCCCCTCTCCCTTCAGAGAACAGATGTGGCCATGGGTGTCCTTCCCTCCTTTAGGTGTACATGCCTGGCCTGCACGCAGCATCCTTAATGATCCTCTGACTCCTGAGTCCTGTTTGAAGCTTCGTTTGGGCGACCACTTCAAAAGATTAACAAGGGGAGGGGGAGTCAGCTGCACGTTTCCCCACAGCGCACCTTCTACACCTGGTAGCAAGAATATTTCCACACCTGATATTTAAAATTCCTTCCCTCTCATTCTTCCCTTCTCATTTCAGACCCATTTCAATGATGAGTGCAAATTCAAAGAGATTCTCCTGCCAAACAACTACAATGCTTATGAATCCAGGATTTATCCCGGGATGTACATAGCCCTGAGCAAAAACGGAAGAACAAAGAAAGGCAATAAAGTATCTCCCACAATGACAGTGACACATTTTCTTCCTAGAATCTGAGACATCTCCCTTCAGACCTACCTCAGCACAGGGGAAGACGCAGAACACGTTTGCGGAAAAGAAACGTGGTGCACTTTTACTGGAGAGTTTTATGCAAGAGTAGGTGTAAGATATTTAAGTTAATTATTTAAATCTGTATATATTGCCACAAAATTTATTTATAGTTCCAATATTTTTTTTTTAAATTTCTGAAAACAAAACCAACCTCCAACCCAAGGTATTTCATTTCATGGTGCAACAGTAGAAGACTTCTGCTTTGTGGTTTATTTAATTCGTTTCTAAGTTATCACAGGTGTGCTGCTACTCTGTGTCCTAAACCGGGTGAAATTCAATTCCTCTATTATGATGTTTTGCACTGTTTGTGTGTTGTACGGTGTCTGTCGTTGTACACGTGTGTGCTTGTTTGTTTGTTTGTTATGGTGGCTTTGTTCTCCTCTGCCTGTTTTCCAAACTCCCCCGTGACTCCCAAAGAAGCTCTTGGCCTCCGAGAAGGAGCGGTGGCGGAGGTGCCTGGGTGGGATGCCAGCGCGGAGCCACACACAATGCCTGACCTCCTTTGTGCGGCGCTGCTATTTAATTGGAACGGTATCGATTTACCTCGGTACAGAAAGCGTGGTGCTGAAGAGCCACCCCACAAATCTGTTTTTAGATCTGCCAGTGCTGAACTTTGAACTTTCCTGCAGTCCGTCTTCTTAGAGCTGCCAGGCGGTAGAGAGGCTTAAACACCTACATAAACTCAGCAGGATCAGGGTGGGTTTTCTTCTATTTAGATAAACAGGAGCATATGATCTTTTGTGGCCCTGCATGGAAGCTTATATTGGATATACAAGTGCTTGGCATGAGGCTGAAAAAAAAAAAAAAGTGTCTGTCCCTCCCCCAACGAGTGCACTGTGAAACACGCTACCGTGAATGAATTATATTTTATTCAAATCAAATTCCCTTTCACATTTGGAGACTACATTCATTTGTCAAAGCTCGTGAAACTCTGTAATACTCGTAAGTTTTTAGAAGGCAAAAACATTTGCTGGTTTGCAGAAAATACAAGCTCCACAGAGAGAATTTAGATTGATTGCAAGGAATTGAGGTTGTTTTGTAGTATTTATTATTTTTGGTGCAGTATTTGGAAGGAGAAATATGCTGCTTTTTTCTGTCTCATTCCCTGACATTAAGTTGATTAATTTCTACCTCACTAACTCTCAAAGCCAGTCTCCTAACAAAATCTGCATGGAAGGAAGGTACACGCTTTTCTGCTTGGTCTTACAGTTCTGGAGGAGGGCCTGGGGGAACAATCGTCATCCCAAATCTCTCTTTTTTTCCATATGTAGCCAAAAGTATTCGGGATAGAGTTGGTTGCATCCTATTTGAGCCTTGTCACGTTTGAGCTATCTTTACCCAGTGGTTTACTTTTAGTAAGGATAATCATGGTGAAAATATTTGCAGACAGCTGTCAGGCTGCAGTACTGTATCGTCATCGAGTAACCCTATATTTTTTCTTTATATATTTTGCAAGTGTAACTCATGTCTCTAATGTGATGAAGGAAAAGACAGGTTTGATTATGGGGGAATCACTAAAACGATCCATTTGTCCATTTCTCTTTCTTTCTTTTCTTTAAAAGATACATCGTCTTTGGGGCATCAATATGTTAAGTGGGAACCAGGACTAACCACAATGTTTGATGACTTTAGAGGATGTTTACAGATCATCTTCCAGTCTAAACTAGTTATTTCTAACTACATGCAAATCCGACTAGCTTTTTTTTTTCCCTTTCTCTTTACATTCCTACACAAAAACCTTTGTTCCTTTGTAATAGTATAGACTTCCCTATATCTCCTACTTACACATGACCTTGAAGACACTATCTACTCACCAAAGTTCAGTAAGACCAGAGCAGACCAGGACCAGATCGTAAGCCAGCTGCTGTCAAAGCAAAAATAACAATTAATAAAAAGGAAGCCAAATGAAGAGAGAGCGCCTAGGAAATGTCATGCCTAAGGATTTTTAACTTTTTTTCTATAATTTGGGGGATTTCTGTACTTTCTGTGTTTTCTATATGTGAGTAATCATTGTGTAATTATCACCACTACCTCTGACAACGGATGATTTTGTTCCAGATTTCAGATAGCAAAATCAGATCACAAAGATTTTCTCTGGGAATTGTTCTTCTTTGTCACTTTTCACTCCATTAAATCCTCAACCGACAACCTCACACAAGATCTGCCCGGAGGTAGTTGTTGTAACTTTGAAATATTGTGATAAAACCTCGATAACGATGTTACATGGTATGAGCTTTCACCATTTACCAGAATCTGTCTGTAGTTTTATACAGGTGCTGTTCAAGACTGTGGTGTATGTGCTGTGCACATTTAAATGCATAATAAATGATAAACGTTTACAACGTATGGCACCCTGGTATTGATTTTAACTCTTTAGAAGGGAACGCATCCTGCAATGGAAGACAAAAAAAAATGCTATTTCACTTTCCCAAAGACAGGGGAGTCTTTGCACCTATGCCAGCTACTTCACGAATGACAGCCTGGATTTCTTACTCAGCTAAAGTTCACCCTGCCAAAGCTGGAACTTGTCCAGCAAAGCCCAGCTTCACCAGCTCGGTAACAGATCCGCACGCTTGCATCTGCCACGCGCTAGTATTCCCACTCGTACTACTTGTGTGGTTATTAACAGCGGCAGCTTTTCCTGCAGCATCTAATATTAATGATCAGAGACACTAACCACTCCTGGCACTTATGTTGCTGGATGTTAACGTTACAAATGAAACCTGATTGCCTTTTTCTTGGCTTAAATGAGTGCTGCTCGCGCTCTCTTCATGAAGTAGGACTATATCAGCGCCAGACATTGCAGGATTACTTGTTTGATTTGAGACACTGTCTCTGTTTGCAATTAATGATTATACTCACACAAGCACATAGAAATATGAAGTGCTTTGTAGCACACCTTGTGGCAAGATTCTTCTGCACAACTTTTATTTATAATTATTGACACATACGCACTTGTACACACACACACACACACACTGTGTCAAATCTCTGCACTTTCAGTTTTGCTTATGGCTCACCCTCTTCCAAGGATTAGGAAAGGAGATGTAACGGGAGTGACAATATTCAGGTTTGGTCTTACACACTTGACGGCAAAGGGAGTTTGTCCAGCTGAGGGCCATATAAAACAGAAAGCCAGACCCCAAGACACAGACTTCTTAATTTTCCACTGTGTTATGCTCTTTTTCCTGTTCCTAGAAAGGGGAAGGCCATAGAGGAGCTGGGAACGTCCAGTGCCCTCACTCTGAGCGAGAGCTATTTCTTTCTAAAGTTGTATAGGCTCTATAAATATATAGCACAGGTGGGTTTTTTTAACTGGACAAGTATAGCTGCAGCGTGTTTAATGCTTCTATGAATAGAGACAGAATAAACAGGCAAACAGACATATATAATAATTTGTCATAATTAACTTATTTGTTCACAATGCTTGTAAACAAAGAACAAATGTAAATTTCTCACTGCCAGGTTTCCCAAAATTGTAACAAAAAGTTATGGCCAGGGACAGAAATGTGTTTCAGCCCCGGGGAGACATCCAATTATAATTTTAAGATTGGAGATAAATCCTAAGACGTGGTTCTTAGGAAGGTGTGATTCCAGAGTAGCTTTGCGGGTTCACAGCACCTAGAGTGCTGGTGCACATGTGGCCCTACCCACAGGAAAATATACGGCCCTGTTGCCACCGCAGACGGAGGAGCTTGAGATGTCACAGAGAACTCTAGAGAAATGTTCCTCCTCTGGCGTCACCTATTTTTTGCTTCACTGCAAAGCCAGCTTTCCTCATGTTGCCTTTGGAGGTAGTAAAAGAAATGCAATAAAGGTGAAACTGAATTTTAACCCCCCCCCAAGAAAGTCATGTACATCGTGTGTGCCAACATTTCAGAGATCACAGAGAGCGTTGCCATGCTCCAGGCATGCCGGTGCTCCTGCCATCCTCTACCAAACATTTCTCTGCACAGAACAACCAAAAACCTTTCCTGAGGTTGGATTAACAACTTCTGTAAGCCAGGCACGTTTCCCCCCATCCAGCAACGGTCCGGCCTGTCCTCTAGGATGACCAGAAGAGGAGCAGTGCCAGGCTGGCCCCGCACCGTGCCCCCGCTTGCCAGGGGAAGGGCAGAGACCAGGCTCCAAGCCCCGTCGGTCGTTTGCAGTCTTGCATGTTTTAAATGGTCCGTGCTTAACATTTTCTGACTCATCTGTGACATCTACCAAGTTGTCCGTATCTAATCTGTGCTAATAAAAATCAGCATGACAAAACACTGCCTTGTATATAAATAGCCACAGGTTTCAGAGCGGTCACTGAGTTTACAGTGCCAGATTCGGTTGTTCACACTTTACCACTTGGTTTCCACCGCAGTATATTAACTGACCATGCAAGTGGCCAATTAGAGAGTCTGTTAAGGGGTGAGGAGTCTTTTGATAAACGCTAGCAAGTACTTCAGCAAGACAGTTAAAAGGAATTCCCTGAAAGACTGCAGCTCCCTTTATACGACACAGAGTATTGTTGTTTGCCAAGCACAGATGAAAACAGATTTTTAATGTATAAAACCCACTCTGAAGCTAAAAAAAACCCCCAACCCAAAGCAACAACAAAAAACCCCCAGTTCTTCTTCTACCAAGTAATCTGAACATGGGACAGTGCAAAATTGTAATATCTAGCTGCTTTCAGGCAATACAACATGCAAAAGGGAGGCTGAGCATCAGCCGTGATTTATGGACTTCAAACAAGAAATATTACCCTGAACTGTTTGTTTTTAAAACTGATTAATTGAAAAATATAGCTTCCTATTGTGCCAAGAAATGCCTACAGCCAGTCACTTAAGGCAGACAATTACTTAATGTAAAACAGTGACCATTTTTTGTATCATAAGTTTCATTACGCATTAAAATGAAGCTGGTTAGTGCTGTTTATAGAACAGATTGATTGGGGTTTTTTCATTTTTGAG